CAACAAACGGAAGTTACAAAAAGGGGTTATTTTCTTCCATTCTTATAGGTTAGGGGCTAAAACCGTTATGTTATAAGGTGAGGGGCCAAAACCGTCAAACTTATCAAGGTAAGGGGCTATTCTTAGGCTTTTGCCTTAATTATATTCCTTCTATGGTACCTGCAACTTTAAATATCTTAATTCAGATGTATTCAACCTTTAATATTTGATAAAATTTTATCTATCGTAATAACAATTAAATTATTCTCATTTTTCTGCATTCCCATGTTCAAAAAAAAAAAATTTATATTCCCTCCATGGCATAAAAGTCTACCCTAGTTGAAAAAGGTGGAGTGGCGACCAGTAGGATTAGTATTTTATTTATGTACTGAAATTAATTTAATTACAATTTCATGTAATAAGTTTGCTATTATAATATTTCAATATATAATTGATTCTTTTTAGTTTTTAATTTTATTTTAATATATCTTTAGATATCCCTTGAACTCTTAAATATGGGCTTCCTTTGTGGTCTCTTCTTGAGCCCATTATTCATGTCTTGGATTTCTTGCTCAAGCCCATGTTTTCATTGGCTCTCTTTTCTCCAAATGTAAATTATTAATTCATTCATTGTACATGCCACATGGTGAGAGAGAGACAACGCCCGTTACGATGGGAGAAAAAAAGATGGTCGAGCGAAGTTTCAACGAAGGAAAAGTTTTGTATAATTTAAATTATATTTAATTATATAATATTAATTATTAGATAAAAAATAAGATCATTGAAATTAAATTTTGTTTTCATTCAATAATTTTTTTTTTATATATTAGTATAGTTAGATCATAAAATAAGAGGCTTTTTAAAAAAACACCTCTTAACTCTTCAAAAAAAAAAAAATCTCTTACCCTTAAAATAATACTAGTTACAGTATTTTTTAATTTAAAATTTATCATAAATTAATTCCTATAAGTTAACGGACTTAAGCTCAAGTTTTAAGTTCAAGGGTGAATAGCTTTGAAATTATCAAGTTTAAGGACAATTTAGAAGTTTATACTTTATCCCTTTTCTTAACAACCAAAATTATCGGAGGAAACGCTCAGTTTTCATTGGCCATGGTGTAGGGAGAACGTTTTTGTTTTTAACCATTGATCATAGAGAGAACGTTACCATCTAAGGAAAAAAAATTGGTTGAGAAAACAGATCCTAAAAATAATAGATTGGTCTCTAACCTTTCTAACATGGTAGACATTAGCCCCCAAACTTTATTTAGGGACTTTTGCAGTTCACAAGATTTTAAGTGAAGTATAATTTCCCCGTTGGTTAAACAGTCAGCATAAGACCTACTAGGTAAAAATTACAGCAGACGGCCCTATAGAAGCATAGCAATTAGGGTTACTAGTTGAAAATTGGATCAAGAAAAATTAAAATAAAAGATATCACTTTTATCCTTTAATTTATTGTACTATTTAAGTGTAAAAATACTTATAAACCTTATAAACGAGAAGTTTAGGGAGGCGTGCTAGCCCTAACCAAATACACCTTTAGAGTTGGGTGAGTATCAGGTTAACGAGACCAATAAGACTTGGGCATTGATCATGCATATTAGTGGAGGTGAGCATTGGGTATGGATATATTCATTATTTGCAAGTATTTTATTTATTTGGGTAAGTAATTTACCTAAATTATAAAAAAAAAAAGGTAAATAATTGATATGAAAATAATATACTTGTAAATATTAAGTCAAGTAATAAGTATAAAGGTTTAAAATTATTTACCTGATCTATTTAATTATTTTATTTGAGTGATGTATTACTTGTATTTGTATAATTAAAATTTCATATATACTTATTATATTTAACATCTATATAATAACAATAATTTTTAAAAATAAAAATAATAAAATAATAAATAAATAAATAAATCATGCATGCCGCTTATAAATAACAAATTTTAAACTAAACTCATATCACACATGCAATCAATAACTTTTTCCTTTCCTTATGCTCCTTTTTATTTTTGAACAAGCTCAAATTTCAAGAATAAGAGGATTTGAACTAGTATCATACTAATAGAAATGTTCCTTCAAAGTTGACTATAAGCCAATTGGCCTAGAAGGCCAAGTGTCCTTCCCTGCACTCTTAGGCAACGGTGAGTGTATCTAACTTTAAAATTTAATTTTTTTTTAGTTTTCTTTATATTTTTCTATTAGTGATTTTCAAGTCATAGTTTTTGTTTATTGCATGGATGATTTTTTAGCTTTAAACTTCAAATTTAACATGATAATAATTGTAAGTCAAAAGTATGGATATCATGATGTTAAAATAGATACAATAATGTTAGCTACCCTCCCTTTAACAAATTGAAGCAAAGGACTAAGGGAACTATAAGCCTAAAAACCTAAATATCTTCTTTGAAGTATATTCATTTTTTTATTTAATTTATTTTCATTCATTATTTTTTGGGTACATATTTTTTGTTCTTTATTGTTAATTATTTAATTGATTTAGATTTAAATTCCATATATAAAACTAAGTTTTAGTTTTTTAATTATTATTTTAGATTGTAATAAATAATATTTTATTAAATTTTTACTAGTTTTATTTAAGTGTAGATTGAAAATAAATAATATATGTTAAATTTTATTTTGAAAGAAAAAAATAAAGCTAAATATCATTCAAAATAAGTATATACTTACAAGTTACCTAATATCTATTAGGTTAAGTAGTTGTTGAATAATTTGTAAATGTTTAAGATCCCACATCAAGAAACTATGAGAATTTAAAAGAATTTAAAAGAATTTATAAAGGCTTGTTCTTTATCAATAAATAATTAAATAAAGTGAAACCCAATGTAAACTGGGCTTTGTCCCTTTATATATAGTCAAAAGATGGGCACTTGAACACTTTGGGCTTGACTGCCAAAACATCATTAATTTTTTATTATGTTTGGATTTTTTTTATTTTATTAAATTAAAATTTGTAAAGATATGTCTGAAAATAGACATAACTATTGACAGTCAAAAGCTATTTATATGAAATTGTGTCTTTTTGAAGGGATATATCCCTACAAATAATGACTTTTCAAGCATTATAAATTTCTATACAAAATCAGAGTTCTACGTCTAATTCTAAAAGAATTTTGTGTTCTGTTGTATTTCAAGAAATTTTAAATTTTTAAAGAAAGCGAGATCATATCTCAGAATAATTTTTTTATTCTTTTGCTATTTTATATTTTCTAAGAGTAGCAAGTATAGATTTTTAAGTATTTGAGTACATACCAACTCTAAAAAGTTATACTAAAAAATTTTTAAATCAAATATTAAATATATTTCATACCCAACTTATACTTCACCCCAACGTACCATTAACCGTTTGGAATTGGGCCAGAGTCATTGTTAATTGGACCAATGAGACTTGGGCCCCTGATCTCAACAGTCCATC